TCTTAAAGTTCCCCAATCTATTTATAAGCTTCATTCATCAGTGTATAAGAATGCCTCTGCAGTGGGTTTAATAAACTTTTTAGTTTCTGATATACTGCTTTTAATAATGAGGAAAGTTGAGCACCTTTTTTATTTGCTAACATTTCTTTTTTATAAACAGTCTTTTCACTTACCCATTATATATTGAGTTATTCATCTTTTATTGATTCGTTTGAATGTCTAATAAGTAGAGAAAAGTTTTCTTTTGTCTAAAGGTTGCACATATTTTCCCCAGGTTGTCTTTTGACTTTCCATGTTCATTTGTTTTGGTTAGTACGTGTAAATACACATACACATATACATATATAGAGAGACTAAGAAATCTTTAGTCTTTGTATAGTCAAATTTATTAAGCATTTCTTTTATTCTTGGGCACTTTCATCTGATGTTCATATATATCATCTAATATTGATGCTTAATGGTTTTCTAATTATGTTTATTTGCTATCCATTAATTTTTGTTCCTCACTATTTTTTTAGTTTAACATAATAATTTCTTTATCTACAAAGCATGTGTTGCAGATTTTTACTTATATACGTAAGTCCAGTAAAGATATAAACTACCTTGTACACTCTTGAATCACCTTACATACACTCTGCAGCCAGAGATATCTGCTGCCTATTAATTCCTGTTGCTCTTAACAGGAAGTTCAAACATCTTACAGTACCTTTATCAGGCCCTTTTTCTACCTTGTTCTTCAGTCACCTTTTTTCTTGAACTTTTCTTCTATCACACATGCTTTAAACTTGAGATTTCCTCTACCTAGAATTACTCCTCCTACTCCCTTTGCCTAGTTAAAATCAGCTCACTTTACTGATTTCTTCTTACATGATGACTTAATGAGGGAAGATTTTCTTTTTCTTGCTGTCTTAACTAGTTCCTCTAGTTGTGTTCTCTTGGATCCATTTATCATTGATGATATGTTTCATAACTGAAAGAATCTGCAGGCATCAAGCATAGTCTTCAAAGGTCAGTAAATATTTTTGGAATGGATCAGTATCTTGACTTTAGCTCAAAAAAGCATTTTTATTTTTACCATGTGATTTAAAGTTAATTTTTAAAAAAAACTGCATTGTTGTTGTTTTCAATTGCTGAATTGTGTCCGACTCTGTGACCCCCCTGGACTGCAGCATTCTGGGCGTCCCTGTCCATCGCCTTCTCCCGGAACTTGCTCAAACTCATGTCATTGAGTTGATGATGCCATCTAACCATCTCGTCCTCCTTTGTCCCCTTCTCCTCCTGCCTTTGGTCTTTCCCAGCATCAGGGTCTTTTCTGAGTCAGCTCTTTGCATCAGGTGGCCAAAGTATTGGAGCTTCAGCATCAGTTCTTCCAGTGAATATTCAGGGTTGATTTCCTTTAGGAATGATTGGTTTGGTCTCCTTGCAGTCCAAAGGACTCTCAAGAATCTTCTCCGACGCCACAATTCAAAAGCATCAATTCTTCAGCACTCAGCCTGCTTTATGGTCCAACTCTCACATCCATATATGACTACTGGAAAACCATAGCTTTGACTATACAGACCTTTGTTGGCAAAGTAATGTCTCTGCTTTTTAATATGCTGTCTAGGTTGGTCATAACTTTTCTTCCAAAGAACAAGTCTTTTAATTTCATGGCTGCAGTCACCATCCAAAGGGATTTTAGAGCCCAAGAAATAAAGTCTGTCTCTGTTTCCATTGTTTCACCATCTATTTGCCATGAAGTGATGGGACGAGATGCTATGATCTTAGTTTTTTAAATGTTGAGTTTTAAGCCAGCTTTTGCAATTTCCTCTTTCACCTTCAGCAGCAGACTCTTTAGTTTCTCTTCACTTTCTGCATAAGAGTGGTGTCATCTGCATACCTGAAGTTATTGCTATTTCTCCCAGTAATCTTGATTCCAGCTTGTGCTTCATCCAGCCCGGCATTTCACATGATGTACTCTGAATATATGTTAAATAAGCAGTGTGGCAATATACAGCCTTGCAATACTCCTTTCCCAATTTTCAACCAGTCTGTTGTTCCATGTCTAGTTCAAGCTTTTGCTTCTTGACCATGCATATGGGTTTCTCAAAAGGCAGGTAAGGTGGTCTGGTATTCCCATCTCTTGAAGAATTTTCCAGTTTGTTGTAATCTGCACAGTCAAAGGCTTTAGCATAGTCGTTGAAACAAAAGTAGATGTTTTTTCTGGAATTTTCTTGCTTTTTCTGTGATTCAGCGGATGTTAGCAATTTGATCTCTGGTTCTTCTGCCTTTTCTAAATCTAACTTGAATATCAAGTTCTCCGTTGACTTACTGTTGAAGCCTCACTTGAAGGATTTTGAGCATTACTTTACTGTGTGTGAGATGAGTGCAATTCTACATTAGTCTGAACACTGTTCGGTGTTGCGTTTCTTTGGAATCCGGATGAAAGCTGACGTTTTCCAGTCCTGTGGCCACTGCTGAGTTTTCCAAGTTTGCTGGCATATTGAGTGCAGCACTTTAATAGCATCATCTTTTAGGGTTTGAAAATAGCTCAGCTGGAATTCCATCACCTCCAGTAGCTATGTTTGTAGTGGTGCTTCCTAATGCCCACTTGACTTTGCACTTCAGGCTGTCTGGTTCGAGGTGAATGATCAGACGGTTATCTGGGTTATAAAAATCTTTTTTGTATAGTTTTTCTGTGTATTCTTGCCACCTCTTCTTAATATCTTCTGCTTCTGTTAGATCCATACCATTTCTGTCCTTTATTGTACCCATCTTTGCATGAAATGTTTCTTTGCTATCTCTAATTTTCTTGAATAGATCTCTAATCTTCCCATTCTGTTTTTTCCCTCTATTTCTTTGCATTGTTCACTTAGGAAGGCTTTCTTATCTCTCCTTGCTCCTCTTTGAAACTTTGCATTCAGATGGGTGTATCTTTCCGTTTCTCCTTTGCCTTCACTTCTCTTCTTTTCCCAGCTAATTGTAAGGTTCTTCAGATAACCATTTTGCCTTTTTTGCATTTCTTTTTCCTGGGGATGGTTTTGATCACCACCTCTTGCACAGTGTTATGAGCCTCCATCCATAGTTCTTAAGGCACTTTGTCTTATCAGATTTAATGCCTTGAATCTATTTGTCATTTCCACTGTATAATTGTAAGGAATTTGATCTAGGTCATACGTGAATGACCTAGTGACTTTCCCTACTTCATTCAATTTAAGTCTCAATTTTGCAATAAGAAGTTCATGATTTGAGCCACAGTCAGCTCCCAGTCTTGTTTTTGCTGACTGTATAGAGCTTCTCCATCTTCGGCTGCAAAGAATATACAGTCTGATTTTGCTATTGACCATCTGGTAATGTCCATGTGTAGAGTCTTCTCTTGTGTTGTTGGAAGAGCGTGTTTGCTATGACCAGTGCATTCTCTTGGCAACACCTCTTAGCCTTTGCCCTCCTTCATTTTATACTCCCAAGGCCAAACTTTCCTGTTACTCCAGTATCTCTTTACTTCCTCCTCTTGCGTTCCAATTTCCCTATGATGAAAAGGACATCTTTTTTTGGTGTTCATTCTAGAAGTTGACCTATCTTTGAAAGGTGACTCCTAAAGGTTTCCAGTTTCTTGAAGACAGAAAATGTGCTTTTCATAAGCTTGCAGTGTACTTTGGTAATGTGATAACATCCTGGTTGAAACTTTCTAAAATGGTCAAGTCAATAATTAAATACCAGGCTGTTTATGTTGTAATGTGTCAGTGGCTTTCTTTACTTGAGTCTTACTAGTAAGTCCTTTGATGTTCTAGGAAACTATGGATTTTTTCCAGAAATAACAGAAAAGATAACAATTTTCTGTGTTTGAGATTTCAGTGGGTATGTTTATATAATTTATAGCTTCTCTTTTATAAAGGTACAGAGTCATAGTACTCATAGCTATACTTCCTGTTAAGCTGAGGTCTGAGTCTTGGGTGGCTAAAGACCTGCATGTTCAAAAGTGTGCAGCCACCATCCCTCCCAGGTATCATCAGTCTTCAGGAATGTTGTCTTCTACTTTAGCATTCATTTTTTAAATTTTTTTTTCTTCCCCTCTAGCAGTTGATCTGTCTTCTTTGAGAACACATTTAGGACAGGAACAGCCAAAAAATAACTATTGTGACATTAGTTAATGAAAAGCAGTTCACATAGATTTTCCTAACTGGTAAATGAGACACCAAAAACTTGTAGATATAGAGCTTTGTAAAGATTTATCTTTGTTTTATCTCATCCCAAGAGGTATAGGCCCTCTTACAAGGTGAAAAACTGGATCTCAGCAAAGCGATTGCTAGAAAGGCAAGTTCTCCACTGTGCTTGCACCCTCCTTGAGGATGAAATATAACTCATCAGACTTTGGATTGATAGAAAGTTATCTACAGATGCTTGGTTTTTTACTTCAGACCACTGTAGTAAATGCTTGTTAATGACTTTCACTTGGCTGAGTGACTTAAGTCTCACAGATGTTACACTGAGGAAATTGTCATATATTACAAAATTTAATAATATTGGTTTCTGGTAAAAGCAGGTCCAGAAGGGCTCTCCCCCTTTTTTGTATTTTGATGGTTAAAGTTTGCAAAACGAGGCCTGACTTGTAGTACTTATATCTCATCTCAAATGATAAGGGATAAAATATAAATAATAGAATCTAAGTACCTTTTTTAATAAAATTTGGGTTGATTAGCAATTATATTGTTTATTACCTAAATCAGAGCCTGTGGACTTTTGAAACATGCTGGCAATCTGCCCACTTCGTTTTTGTTTTCACCAGTGAATTTCTTTTATCACTATTGATCAGCATCAGCACTACAGTCAGGTATAAAAGATGAAAAGTGAATATAGCTGATTAATGAAGACTGAGTGTAAATTTAATAATGCAGTGGGATTTAATGAATAAGGCTATGAAAGGCCAGATGATAGAAAACAACTATGTTTATCTAAAATCTGTCGTTGATATAAAAACTTTCTAATGAGAAGAAATGACTTTTTTTTATCTATTTCCACAGTGTTCAAAGAGTTACTTAGTAGGACTGAACAAGAGAAATCTGGTGTTCCTCATATTCCCAAAATTGCTGAAAAAAAAAGTAATCGACACTCAATCCAGGATGTACCAGGAGATCTTGAACAGACATCACAAGAGAAAGGAAATAAGAAAATAAAAGCAAATACTGTTTCAGGTGGAAGAAACAAAATCAGGAAAATTTTGGATAAAACACGATTTAGTATCTTGCCTCCAAAACTATTTAGGTAGGTAATGACAATCTCTGTAATGTAAGCATTTTCCTATTGACTATGAAGTTTTTTATGGAAAAAGGGAAGTTGGGTCACTTTTAGTTTTTATACGGATATTGCATCATGCAATTTACAAGCAGTCCATAAATAAGAATAAATTCTAAATGTCTCATCACTTCCATGAAGTTATCATTGTTAGATTATATAGTCTTCCATTAGCCTTGATCTGAATTTTAGAAAAGACTGTTCATTTTATTTTATGAAATCTTTTTTTTTTTTTTTTTGTATATTTTTGGTCCAGTGTCAGTCCCGTGATCTACAAATCTGGACATCTTAAAACTTGAGACATATTCACTGATACTATTTTTTCTTTTTGTCTTTCAAATCTTTCTTTTATTGCACTATTTATTCCCTCTTGAATTCTAAAGCTAACCTTTTTAATCAAATCTGTTTCTGTTTTAAAAACAGAATATCACCAAATCTGAGTAGAACCTCAGGGTTTTAAATGCAGATTAAATCCTTAAAATACTGATAAAATGAATCCAGTGTCATGACCGGGAATTGCTCTAATACGTATTATATCTGTGTATATTTTATAGTGTCCACTTTCTAAGGTAATCAGAGAAGTTATAATTAAATACAGTACTTAGCACATAGTAGTCACTCAATATTTGCTGAATTAAGACAATGAATCAGTGAAAGGAAAGAGAGCATATTCAAAGAAAATACTGAGTTTGGCTCTTAAGAGTTCTTTGTATTGTGCCAGGTGATAATTACAGAGCTGTAAAGAGGTAGTCCCTGCCTTGAGGGGATTCATAGCAGGAACCCTTTATTCTTCACACATTTATCATAAATTAGGCACAATATCCAGAGATAGAAATAGTGAAAGTAGAACGAGGTTTTTACCCTATAAGAGCTGGTCATCTAAAACGGAAAATGAACAAGTGGTCCATTATAGGGTGATAATTATTTTGATACGAACAAAGGCAGAAACAAGTTTGGTAGATTTGGGTAGACTGTGTTTCTCAGTGCATAACTAACGATGAAGCATGATAGATAGGTTAGTGAATGACTTTGAATATTATGCTAAAGATATGGACTTCATGTCATAATAGGGGGCCATCAAAGACATGTGATGTGGTAAGATTTACTCTTTTAAGATCTTTTAGCTGTGGTAGTGGTTTGGGGTTGACAGTGCAACATAGTATAGCAATAACAGCAAGATTAATTAGGAACAAGGTGAATGTCAGCTCTTAACTTTTACTTAAAGATCCTTAGGAATTTCCTGATCAGAAAATGCTTCATCAGTTTTTATTTTTAACTCTGGGAAAAACATTTATTCTTAATTTAATTTGAAGCTCACAGAAAATTGAAACGTCCTGAGCTGTGTTCATAATGTCTCTTGTTTTTAGAAAATTTATTAGTCTTTCTTTTTTGAGTGACTCTTCTCCTTGAGGCTTTAAAAAAAATCATAACTTTAGCAAAATTCTTTTAATATTGAACATACTGTAGTATGATAGCAGCATGGGAAACACTTTTATATAAGAATATATACTTTTTCTCACAAATGAGATTTCAATAAAGAAAATATTAGAGGGACCAGCTCACACCGAAGAGATTGGGGATGGTTTGGGGTGGCGAGAAGTCTGCATGAACACGCTGAGGAAAAGGGAAAGGAATGGAGGATCAGAAGGGAAAAGAATTCACGCAGGGAGATCCTCAGGAGTGATGCCCAGAGCTCCATTTCCGGAAGCCCGTGGGTGTTTTGTTTGATGTGGAAAACATGCATTTCCTGTAACAGAGTCTCATTTTGCACACTTGGTGGCACAGTTGTGACGTGTCATCAAAAGCCGAAGAACACCAGGATTGCAATTAGTTTGTCAAATTTCACCTGGCTATATTCAGTTGTCAGGCATCTCAATCAACATCTCATTTCTATAGTGTTTCCTTCAGGAAGTGGGAATTGGTTACTCCAGTTGGTGTCTGTCTTTGCTTACAGCAGGTGGCATGGAAATTGAGTTGGCTGGGAGCAGTCTTTTAAGTGTGTTCAAGCACTGTTTGTTTATATTAGGACCCCTCCAAAATGAAAGATCTAGTAAAAATTATTTTACTTAAACTCAGAGGGATTTTTGTTGTTAGTCAGTAAGCATTTATTGAGTCTCTCCGTTGTGGTAGCAGGAGTTTGTTGGCTGTGAATAAAATATGAATAGAATTCTGCCTTTCAGGAGTTAATATTAAACTGGTCATCTCTTCTAAACATAATGCTAATAATTTCAGCTGTAAAAATACCCCCCAAAAACCCAGATTATTTTGGTAGAAATCATAACAGTTTTCTACTGGACCCTATTTTGCAGGGAAAATGAATTTGTTTTAGGTTAGATACTTTGCATTTTTGAGAATGTATGTCATATTCCTTGGTACTTAATCATTAGGTGAATTCAGACAACCTCTTTTGCTACACATACATGCACACACAGAGATCAGTAGAAGTTGAGTAGGCACAGAACATGAATGAGATGTTCTGCATCAGTAACAATCAAGAATAGGGAATTTGCTGGTGGTTCAGTGGTTAGGACTCAGCACTTTCACAGTCGTGAGACTGTGGGCCCTGGTTCAACCCCATATCAGGAAGCTAAGATCCCACAAACTGCACAGCAAGGCCAAAAATTAAAATGATCATTGTCATAATTAGTTGTTCTTTATCCATGGTAAAATAAAACTGCAAAGTTTTCAGGAGATGTCCAGCTACAAGAGACTGGTTAAATAAATTGTGCTACTTACTGTGAAATGACTAGAAGGAAAAAAGTTGATTATGGTTTTCTCTAAGTAGCTTTATAGGTCAATTTTCCATTTCTTGCTTGCTTCCTTGTTTTTTGTATTTAAAATTTTTTTGGTTTGAATATTTTTTAATTAGGAAGAATTTTTCATGAGTTTAATTCCACAGTTTTCAGTGCGGCTTCTCTGTGTCTGGACTTTTTGGAATGGGCACTTACTTGGCTCTGACTTTTGCAGCGTGAGAGTTGTCATAGAAATACTGTGAGAGAGAATGTCCACATCTGTAAGTGGAGTAAAGATACTGAGTATAAGGAAGGAGTAAGTCATTGAGATAAGACTCGGTAATTCCCCAAATACCTAACCATGACCTAATTTTAAAATGAAAGAATGCTCCTGAAAATTACAAGTGGAAAAAGAAAGTCTGACTGATTTTGAATAATATCCTCAGATCAAAACTTAGCAATGTGAATTTTGTTGACCTGAAAATCAGGAAGTCTGATCTCCTATTTATTTTTTTAATTGTAGCTTTTATTTTGTTTTCTTTAATCATGGATTGCCCAGTCAAGTATCTAATTCATTGTAACAGTCCTTGAAGTAGATTGCCTTGTTTGGTTATTAGAAATTATTTTTTTTCTTCTCCATTTATTGTTAGCTTTCATTCTGGTATTATTTTTGTTTGCAAACTGTTGGTGTTTATGCAGCCTTTTTAGTTTCATACTCTGAAACTAAAATATACATTTATTTTAAGTAAATTCAGTATCAAGAATTACTGAGGAATTTTTCAAAACTATCTTGTTTCTGTTACTGCATCATCTTCTCAGGAGACTGTTTTGGTAAGAAATGTGACATGTTCGCAAATAGGCTTTATTATTCAGCTTCCAGACAAGCATGGATATTTTGCCAATTAGATATTGTTTCATGTCATAGCATGGGTTGTACATAACATTAGTATAGTTTTCATTTATATATGCTTTCACCTTAGTTACCATGAATTTATTACCAGCTTTACTTTATTATTGGAGAAGGAAATGGCAACCCACTCCAGTATTCTTGCCTGGAAGATCCCATGGACGGAGGAACCTGGTGGGCTGCAGTCCATGGGGTCGCGAAGAGTCAGACACGACAGAGCGATTTCACTTCACTTTACTTTATTATAGCTTTTCCGTGTCATATCTATTGCTTATTAAAAAGCAGAGGTAATATTAAATAACATCAGTAAGATAGATAAAGACTTTTAGTATTTCATGTACTTCTTAGTCTCTGTAGTAAATTCTAGTTTATTGCAAGTGACAGCCAATTCCCTGAATAGTAAATTGTAACTTTTTAATATTGTTAAAATTGTTTAGACTTTGATTATTAGTAGAAACAGCTAACAGTTTGCTTCCTTGGATTTAGTTACCTGACTATGTCCAAGAACTGGCAGGTTGTTTTCAGAAATCAAAGAAAGACTTGTATTTTTAAAAATTCTTTATTATTTATGTAATATGAATTATAGGGCTTCCCTGGGCTCAATGGTAAAGAACCCACTTGCCAATGCAGGAGACATGGGTTCAATCCCTGAATTGGGAAGATCCCCTGGAGAAGGAAATAGCCACCCACTCCAGTATTCTTGCTTGGGAAAGCCCATGGACCTGTAGGAGCCCATGCCCATGTAGGAGCCTGGTGGCAGCCTACAGTCCATGGGGCTGCAAAAGAGTTGGACACGACCTGGCAACTAAACAACGGCAGCAGCAAATAAGAATTGTTGCCGAAATACTTAAACAAAACTATAAATAAAATGTGTGTGAAAGCCCCCCACCCCTGTTTTTTCTCTTATCATGAGCTATTTAGCTCTGATCTTTAGGGATACACCCCTAATTGTAAGGAACAACTTAGCAGAAATAAAAATTTCTTATCAAATAAATGATTCCCTTTGCCTTATCATAAGATTAGACTGCATTCTTTCCTCCCAGGAAAGCATTTCCTCTTTCTGTAGTGCCTTTACCTGTTGTACCCATACTACCCCCTCTCTTTTTTATTTTGAATTAGGTAAAATCCTTTCTAGATATGTATTGTTCTATTTTCATTTCAGTAAAAGTGCTACTGTCTTCTAAAAAGTAGGAATCCTATTTTTCTCTGTGCCAAAATGTTCACCTACATTACTTTGTTTAATCTTTGCCATAGTCCTAGGGGATCAGTAGTATTATTTACAGTTTTGGATGAGGTAACCAAGAAACGAAGAAATTTCCCTGAGGTCACACAGCTAATAACCTAGGTCTGTTTGACATAGCTTGCTCTTGAAGCACTTAACTATGCTTTTTTCCATGTTCTCATGCTTCTCCCTGACTTCTCTTTGTCTTATCCTGGCTGTCTTCCTTGTCTGGCTACTAACAGTCCTTTAGCTGTTTATTTAGCAATCCTCTAAATTCCATCTTGCATAGTTTTCTAATCTGCCTAAGTCCTATTTTTAACTCCTAACATATCTAAGAGGTACCCTATATTATTCAGATCTTAATCCATCCCAAGATCATAGGTAAGTATTCTGTGATAATTATTTGTATATGTAGCAAATACTGGGTAGAATGCTATACTGAAAAAAATATATATAGATGGGAATTAATATTAACCTAAAACATTGATTTTAACCAGTGCTTAGAAATTAGTAGTATTTTGGTTGTTGATGCTAATGGAAGTCTACTTTTCACTGCTGTCCTATATTTGTATAGAACTGTTTTGCTTATCCTATGTTTTATAGAATTTGAGGGGTATCCAAACCTTAAGTAATAGGGTTGTGTTTGGTTTTATTTTTTCTCTTGGTTTTAGAATTGCCTGTTTAACACCTCTGAAATATTTTAAAGGAAGGGTAGTGTATTTGCTTAATATGGCCATTTAATAAATGTTACTCGTTTTTGAAACCTTTAAAGGGAATTAACTTGCAATGACTGGCTTTCTGCTTTGGTTTTGATCGTCTCATCTAAGGAACAGCCAAATAATTAGACTTGAGAGATCACACAAGAAATGGTGCACTCTTAGAATAAACTAGAGCCTGTAAAATTCTCTTTTTTTTTCTCTCTTTCTTGGTCCCCTTTTTTCTTCAGCTTTCTGTTTGTCACATGCAGCCATTGTCGTTTGCTGCTGTTTTCTGTGTCACTTTCCTGTTTTCCCTTCTCTGTACTTGGTGGTTGGAGCAGTTCCCAGGTTTCTCATGTGTTTGAAGACCTATCTTTGTCACTTGAGCCTAGCCCCATTGTTTTCTACAACCTGCCATATTTTTGACTTGGGTTCAGACCAGCTCCATCCTTTGCCTCAAAGGTTGCCAAGCTTTTCTTTCAAGAGGAAGAACCTTGCTGCGGTATGGCTGTACGTTGTTGGATATATGTCTTAGTGTCTAATGAAGCTGGCAGATCTCAAGAACTTCCTATTCAGGTTCATTTTCTCTACCAAAACCGACAGAAACTAAATACGAAATACAAGCGTTTCTGTGTCATGTAGATCCCACCTTTGAAAAACACAGGAGTTAATTCATGTAAAATCTATAATTGGCCCTACCCACCTGTGGTTCCTCACATCTGTGGATTCAACCTATCAGGGGCTGTGTAGTACTGTAGTGTTTACTACCACTGAGAAATATCCATGCGTAAGTGGACCTGCTTAGTTCATACTTGCATTATTCAGGAGTCAGCCATAATAGAATTACCTACATGTATAAATTAAATTTTATTTGAGTGTAATTATTAAAAAAACATTTTAGTGTCATTTTCAGTATTAGACCTGTCCTGTTTTTTTTTTTAATTGCTATAGTATTTTAAAATCACACTTTGAATTGGTCCTGTTATGCCTTGTACACAGAGAACAGAAATGTTTACTATTAAGGCTCCTCAAATACTTTAAAGTGATATGTGGCTTTCTTTTGAAGTGATGGAGGCCTGAGCCAATCACAGGATGACAGCATTGTGGGAACGAGACACTGTAGGCACAGTCTGGCCATAATGCCTATCCCTGGAACACTCTCGTCCAGCAGCCCCGATCTCCTCCAGCCTACCACCAGCATGTTGGATTTTTCTAATCCCTCAGGTAATTTTTGCTTATTTTATACAGCCATATTTGTACCAAATAGATAAATAGATGGTTGAGCCATGTGTAACAAATACTAGATTTGCTGGCAGCCCTCTTTTCTCACCTCCATATTTTGACTCAGTGCAGAAACGCTAAAGAGAAGATTATGTCTTTTTCTCTAAACTGGAGTGATGGTACTTTCAGTATGAAAGAGAAATACGTGTCTTTTGGTAACCCTAATCCAAGCAGTGGAATGAAAGCAGGGGTACTTCTTCTCAATCAAGAAACATGTTACTCAGAGTGTGGAAAGGAATAAAGCAAATTATTTTAATCTAATTTGTCTCACTTACCTTCCTCTATGATGTACAGAAATGTGTTAACAGTTTTTTAGAAACACTGATTTTTCTCTCCACTACCTGAAACTAATGTTTTTGTTATATCCAATGTTGTTAAAATACTATAGCATCTTTTTCATTGATGTTCAGACTTTGAGTGTGGGACACTGAGTTTATTTTTCTGTATCTGTTCATGCTCAGAGGCAGAAATTGTCATTTAACTGTGTAACCTAAAATTTCTTTACAAGGATGGAACATTTTGAAGAATTAATATCTACTATTTGAATGGGTTTGAGATGGCTTTCAATAAAAGATGAATACAATTAAAAACTGAAGTATCTATTTGATCCAAGGAGAAGAGGGAAAAAGCACCTCCTCAAAGATGCATATAGTTGTGATCAGCTTCAGTTTTGATGTTAAAGCTCTAACAGCTAGTGGGAAAAGGGAAGAATTCTGTTCTTCTTCACCTGTTCTGAGAGATTCCTAGGCCCAATGATCTGTCTTTGACACATCCCACTCTCTACGTGACTACAGTGTCCTTTCTAGGGCAGCGGTCTCCAACTTTTTCAACACCGGGGACTGGTTTCATGGGAAACAGGTTTCCCATGGACCACGGGGCAGGGATGATTATGGGATGATTGAAACACATTACATTTTTGTGCACTTTATTTCTGTTATTATTACATCAGCTCCACCTCAGAGCATCAGGCATTAGGTCCTGGAGGCTGAGGACCCCTGTTCTGGAATGAAGGTTTTGATGAGCCATTACTTGACTTAGAAATGTCTAGTGATTTCTATTTGTTCTGGATTCAGTAGTGAGATGGAAACCACTCCATATATTTGATCAGAAGGTATTATCAGATACTGTTACCAAGTATAAAGTAAACTGTTTTACATAAGAAGGTAAGAAAGCAAGCACTAAAGTGTCACAGTTAGGAAGCTACAAAGTGGATTCAGCTTCTGGTGCATGAAAGAAATGCCACCACCAGGGTAAAGGAGTATCGTTCGAGCAATATAGGAGCCAAATACCCACACATAAGAAAATAAGGCAGCAGGTCTCTTCTTGTAGCCTTGCAGTCTAGCTCTGGTGCTCCCTTTTGCCAGAACCTAAGAGAGAGACCTTGGCAAGAAAGAAATATGGTTTGCAGAGTCCCAGCCCCATTGTAGCAGGGTAGTGTAGGTTTAAGTTAATAACTGTTGGTGTCCAGTTTTTACAGCATTATTATAAACCCTTTTCTAGCCTCCTGTTACACCATTCTCCAAACTGTTACCTCTCTGTCTCTCCTGAGTATGGGACGTACCCTCAGAACTGTCTTTCTGTGCCTATATTGTTTGCTACCTCTGGTGTTTTCTCCTTGTATATCCCAGGAAATTTTTATTATTCCTCAGTGCTGAGCCCAAGTGTTACCTCATCTGGGGATCTCAGGTCCCTCTGATGCAGAATCGCTCTCTCCTTTTCTAGCACATTATCTGTCTAACGTTGTCACATGGTAGTATGGGGAATTTATTTCTGTGTGTGCGTATGTTCCATAGCAGTATTTCTTAAACTGCATTCACAAAATTTTAAACACTACCAAAGCACAAACTAAATATTCATCTGTACTTTCATAAGACAAATGTTTAGGGATGTAGGATTTATAACTTGATTGACTTACAGTTATTGATATACATTTGTATTTTTGCCACTGGCATATTTAGAAATGAGGCAGGGTGGGAGGTAAAGGATGGGTAGAAGGGGGAAGAGAGAGAGAAATTGGGGATTTAGCTAGGGAAATGAAAGAGATTGGAATTATTAAAATTTAGAAACTGTAAACCCCATGGCACTGAAATTCTGATCTCTGAAGAGGATATACTATTCAAGATTGATTGCATAATTCCCTCTTTGAGAACATGTTGAAAGTGTTGGAGATGCCCTTTTTACTGTCTGTCCAGAGAAAGTCAGTCTGCAAAGCTCCTTCTGCAGCCTTTGTCCATATCAGCAATATGAATGAGCACATATAAGAACTTAAATTATATTTTTAAATCTCCAAATGAGCAACTTTATGAAAAACCTTCTGCAGTGCTGTTTATATTTATGGTGAATAAAATATTTATTACCAATTAATTCCAAATTCAGCTTGGTGAATCATAAATGACAGCACTAAATTTTAGGTTAACTATGTGTACATCACATATGTATATTGTTGTACATGTGTGACATCAAGCCAAGTATGACTAACTTATCAGTCTACATCTCAGTTATGTTTTTGCTGCATATTTTAAATTGTCATTAGAAAGTAAGGACAAAGCTACAGAACTGGTTAATACTTTGCTTTTGTTTGCTGACTTTTTTATGGTTTTGCTTTGTTTTTGCTGCCTACAGCTGTTGGTTTGTACTGTAAGTATCTTGAAGACTACGGTATTTTCTTGCTTATGTCTGTATGTAGTGTTTTATTGTAAAAGTCAAACGATACAGAATTGAATGAAGTAGAAAGCAGAACTCCATACACTTCAAAGGTTGCCAGTGTAAACTGGTATATATTCTTTTAGTCATTTTCTTTGAATATATATCTTTTTTATACCCATTGAATCAGAGTATATATGCTGTTCTGTAATTTGTAAAAAGTGTTTCCGAATTTTGGGGTTTAATGTGACATGAGGCCTAAAATAATTCAGAGTGTAGCTAAAAGGATTTGAAACTGATTTTTTTTTCTGAGTTTGCATATGGAACTTTTTGCTTACTCTTTATCATTTAATAGCACAAACTTTTAATTTGACATCTTTAACATTTAGTAAACTTCATACTCATTTTGCATCACAAGTCTGAGTTATTTTAACTAATTTTTAATTGTGAAGGAACATATATTACAGTTTTTATTTGCAGAGAAAGGATAAAATATAAAAGTCTCTGGTTTCCAGAATTAATTGTTCATTTGCTTCTATATTGTTTCAGAAATTTCAGAGCACATAAATTTATATACTATTTCTTTCACCCCAAATGATATAATTTTTTTCCCACTTAGCCCATTTCACCTAGTAATATACCTTAAACGCCTTTCTGCAGCAGGATGTATTCTGCCACAATATTTTGAACGTTCTGTTTAACCAGTTCTGTTTTAGTGGATGTTTGCCTAAATCTCTGTGATTACATATCTTTACATGTTGTAGATTTACATTATTAATATACTTTGAATTTTGTCAAAAATTTTGTCATAAATTTGTTTCTTTCTTGTTATATAAATATCTATAAAATATTATCTATTTTACCTCTTGGCCTCCAGAACTTAAAATATTTGCTTTTTGACCCTTCATAGAAGAAGTTTACCAATCCTTAATCTGTATCATTATACTCCTACCCTGTGTTTGCTTTGTGAACTTTTCACTGTATGGATTGTCTTATTTACTTCATTATTGTGTGTTTCCTTGAACCACCACCACTCTCTTGAATATAAGCAGATCTCTACAAACAGAGACTTTATCCATCTCATTTATTACTTCAGCTTCATCATCTGGGACACTGATGATGTAATGGGTACTCCATAAATACTTGTACAGTGATTAACAGCCTAAAGCTGTTAATGAAGAGGCATTCCTTTGTTTTCTGTTTTTGTTTTAATGATCATCTTAAATACCTAAAAAGTTCTTCCATTTTTAGTATAATGTCAGGGTCAGACACTAAAAATGGAAGAACTTTTTAGGTATTTTAAGTGATCTTTAAAAAAACACAGCAAAAGACTGCACCTTCATTCTGCTTTAAATTGTTAATCAGTATACAAATATTTATGTAGTACCTGTTATGTCATCAGCAGACTACAGTGAATGGGGTTGCAAAAGAGTCAGACACGACTTAGTGTCTAAACAACAAACAACAACAACAGGGTCAAAACATGTGTCCTTATCTCACTTTTAAATTTTACTTAACACTAGAAATTTTGCCTTGGGTTGAAAGTATGGGTATATGTGAATTTTTTCTTAAATTCATTTACCTATTATGTAAGAATTTTAGTATGGAATATTAATCATAAGACTAATAAATGCTGAACTTCTCCAGGATTCTTTTTAAATGTCTTTTTTCCTTACAGGATTATATTTTTATGTGTATTTTAGCTTCGTACCTAAAATTCGAAATGGTTAGATCGTTTTTGTTCTTGATTCAACTTTATTCTAACTTCGTATTTATCATTTAACTAATCATTTAACGTTTGAGTGTCTGCCATGTTTCAAATATTATGTTGAGCATTATGGTGTTCTCTCACTAGTACTTTTCTGAAGAAAATATATGTATTATACAGGTAACAGTTTGAAAATGGAAAGAGAGATTTACCCCAACACTGATATCAGTGTGGAGATATTTTTTCCTCTAATGTGTCTCAAATTTTCAAATTTGTTTTTCAAAATTGGCATTTTATTATCTTGGCAAATTCACCGGGATTTGGGTTATGTAATACCCTTTGAGAAAACGCTGAGCTGGAAGAAGCACAAGCTGGAATCAAGATTGCCGGGAGAAATGTCAATAACCTCAGATATGCAGATGACACCACCCTTATGGCAGAAAGTGAAGAGGAACTAAAAAGCCTCTTGATGAAAGTGAAAGAGGAGAATGAAAAAGTTGGCTTAAAGTTTAACATTCAGAAAACTAAGATCATGGCATCTGGTCCCATCACCTCGTGGGAAATAGATGGGGAAACAGTGGAAACAGTGTCAGACTTTATTTTGGGGGGCTCCAAAATCACTGCAGATGGTGATTGCAGCCATGAAATTAAAAGACGCTTACTCCTTGGAAGGAAAGTTATAACCAACCTAGATAGCATATTAAAAAGCAGAAACATTACTTTGCCAACAAAGGTCTGTCTAGTCAAGGCTATGGTTTTTCCAGTGGTCATGTATGGATGTGAGACTTGGACTGTGAGGAAAGCTGAGCACCGAAAAATTGATGCTTTTGAACTGTGGTGTTGGAGAAGTCTTTTGAGAGTCCCTTGGACTGCAATAGATCCAACCAGTCCATCCTGAAGGAGATCAGTCCTGGGTGTTCATTGGAAGGACTAATGCTGAAGCTGAAACTCCAATACTTTGGCCACCTCGTGCGAAGAGTTAACTCGTTGGAAAAGACCCTAATGCTGGGAAGGATTGGGGGCAGGAGGAGAAGGGGACGACAGTGGATGAGATGGCTGGATGGCATCACTGACTCGATGGGCATGAGTTTGAGTAAACTCCGGGAGTTGGTGATGGACAGGGAGGCCTGGCGTGCTGCGATTCATGGGGTCGCAAAGAGTCGGACATGACTGATGGACTGAACTGAACTGACTGAATACCCTTTGGATAATTCCATTTGCAGATCTGTTCTAGAGCTATCCATTTATGATGCCTGAATCCTTCTTACATGACTATGACAATTTGTCCTTTGCATGTGAAACAAATGGTTTTAACAGTGTGAATATAAGAGAATGTAACAGAATACAGTGTTTGGAAGGATACACAAGGTTCCTTCTCCGATGTAGTATGTTAGCAGCAAGAGAAGAAATGTGTGCAAATTCCCAATCTGTCTGTTTGAATAAATTTCTCTGAAGAAATTAATAAAAGGAATCAGAGCATCTCCCCATTCCCTCATGGTCAGCTAGCTCGGCTGGCAGATGCTCAACCCCCAAAAACCTAGTAAACAAATCTACCTCTAAGCCCTGGACAACTGAGATCTATTTTTGTGAAGAGGATAGGAACAATACAGATAATAATAGTAATTGTTTGACACCTTTTATTGGGTTAAAGGGGATAATGAAACTCTTGTCCAGTATTTTTCTTTTGGAAAACTGAAATTTCCAACTTCCTGCATTTTCTAGCCCAGAATAGAGAGGCAGCTTGTTAGCATGTCATAAGAGCCTACCTTATGCCTGTAGACTTAGAAACCTGATAATGTCAGCAACATCTGAGGGACTGACTCATTTTCAGAGATATATGAACAGGAGGCAAGAGGTGTTTGGTGACTCAGATCTTTGCATACCTCAAAAAAAAGCAGTTTGGCGCATATATCTTACAAAAGGGGCCTGAATAGATGAAGCATTGTGCTTCCAGTTTGACAGTAAACCCAGAACATTCAACATTTGTCGGCTAAGAATCCTTTTCCTGGAATTGTATTCACATATATTCACTTGACTCTTCCAATACTGGGAGTCAGTCTTTGTCTTTTTGTGTTGTAGCCTCACGGCGAACTTTATTCTGTGAAATTATTTCCTTCCACATCTGTTTCATTACTTTTCTCTTTCATTTAGCTGGAATTATGCCTTGGGTGGTTTTGAAGTGAATTTGTAATTTTTCTTTTCCTCTTAGATTTACAATGTATACAGTGCTAAGAATGTAATGCTACACAAAGGGTATACAGTGACTTGAGCCACCCAAATATCCCTAGCTCACCCCCATTACTCACATGATACAAATATCCACAACAATACATTTTTCCTAATTAAAAATGGAAGAAATTTTTGTAATTTATTATTATGAGGAAACATTTAGCAGTTGTTTGTGTTGTAAAATCACTTTTCAATTAAATTTAATTATGATAAATAATTAGCCCACTGTCGTCATATGGGCTAATTGTTCAGGAAGCTTTAGCCAATGCCATATGAATAGAAAAAGAAATAAGGTAGAGTATGAGGGGGAAATATCATTATTTACATGTACATATTACACGAACATTTATTTTAAAGTAAGATTAATCTACTAATAGCAAACATCACAAACACTGAGATTTAACCACATGAATGTTTTAAATTTTCCTGTGTTAAAATACATAAATATAAAATCTGAAAAGACATTGGCCACTTTATAGTAGATTGTATTGGCACTTAGTATAATTCAGTAAGAAAAAGCATAAAGAATAACAAAAAATATTTTTAAAAAGGAATAATGGTTGACTAAACCAGCGAGTTTCACCATGAACCAAAGAAGTGAAATACAAAATAATGACACATTTTTGGAGGGAAGAAATGCATAGGGCTTTCAAAATGGAAAAAAAAAAGTTCATAAACAGTTTTGATAAGAATGTGACTAAAATTGCTGTCTTTGTACCCTAGGATGATAAAACATTATAATGTTCTTAGAACAGATCAGAAGTATATTTCCAAAACAGTAACAGTATGCATGCCCTCTAACTCAACATTTCTCTTTGTTTTGGATTTTCCCTGAGGAAATAAATCAGATTGACTACAAAGGTTTATCTACAGGAAGAGTTTGAGATGGAGGGAAATTATTTATCATAAAGTTACTTATGATAAAGGAACATAATATGCAAGCTAAATGTCTGTGATTAAGGATTTGATTCATTCCAAATTATAAAATACAGATCGTGGAGTCCTATGCCTCCATAAAAAATTTTCTTGAAGAATATTTAATGATATAAAATGTTTATAAAAATGAAAATTTCATGGCTTTCAAATCATATGCATAGTATGGCTTTATTTTCTTTTTCTTGGTGTTTTTCTGTGAACATATACTAGTATTTTGTCACCAGAAAAGATACATTGATTTATTAATAAGTGCAGCTATGATTTCTTTTAACATCCTTGAAAGAGAAATATATATTTAACTGTTTAGAGAGATCATTGTCTTCTAAATTATTTTTTGAAGAGTTTGAGTCATTTTCTGTAAAATAACAGAATACTGTTTTGATTTATACAGATATTCCTGATCAAGTTATAAGAGTTTTCAAAGCAGATCAGCAGAGTTGCTACATTATCATCAGTAAAGACACTACAGCTAAAGAAGTTGTTTGTCAAGCTATTCATGAATTTGGTTTGACTGGTGCCTCTGACACGTACTCTCTCTGTGAAGTTTCTGTTACTCCTGAGGGTGTTATAAAACAGAGAAGACTTCCAGACCAATTCTCCAAATTAGCTGATAGAATTCAGCTCAATGGAAGGTAAATGTGCTTATTAATGAATGTACTTATTTCTGCATGTGTTTTTGAAGATTGCATGTTAAAAGACATAATGTTAAATAGGAACATCATGTTTTAGGACCACTGAGTTCTCTCTAAAATTAACATAGTATTCTTTTTTTAGCCTTCTGTTGTCTCCATAATTATGTAAATGAACCTTAGAGCGTTAGCACTCATAAGTGCTACCCAGAAGTGGGAGAAAGGATAAAAATGTTTTAGCCCTTCTGCCAAAATAAAGTCTTTGAACCAGTGGTATAGTCCAAGCCCTGTTTTTTACAGAGGGAGATGATACATATTTTTATTATATGTTTCTGAGTATATTTGTGTATGTTAATTTATACATTTGCTTTTTAAATGATCAATATGTACTTTGGGGAAAAGAAATCATAGTTTACATAATTCTTTTAAGTAGTCTTTCTTCATGAATATATGAAAACTCTAAAAATGTTTTAAATGGACTCTGAAAATTATTTGATCAACTAGAAGATAATTTCAGTAACATTTGTTTTTTAGTGATTTTTTTCTGGCAATAATACAATCTTTTTAGTGAACCTAGATTCATATGTAGGATGAAATCCTTAGAAACCTTAAAATGACTATCCATAGTGGTTGCTGTTAAGACAGAATAGGTTAACTCTGCTTTTGCTGACTGCATGTAGTGGTTAAGGGCATGGATCCTGGAGCAAGACTGCCGAGATTCAAATCCCTGGTCTGGCTGTATGATCTTGAGTAAGTTATTTGGTTCCTCTGTGCCTGAATTTTCTCATCATAAAATGGGATGATAGTAATAGAACCAACCTCAGAGGAATGTTAATAGAATTGAGTTAATAAACATAACATAATTAGATCTAATTTTATTATCTACAGTATGAGTTTCAACTCATTATTTATGATAATCTCTTAGGCATGTGAATAGTTTAAAGGCAGAAGAAAAATAAATATAGTTAGTTCCTTGACAGTATAAAATAGATGGACACAAACTTGGGCTTAGATCAAGTTGTGTATTATTAATAGAAAGAATGAAGTAAAAACCACTTGTGATACAATATGTAACCTCTTCTGCAGCAGCGGTCCTGTAGAAGATATTTCCTAGTTATGAATTCTTTACTTGTCTCTTAGCGTTTAAGTGTCATAAAATTGTTCATCTAAAAAGGCAAGTGAAGATCTTTTTTATGGCTACCAATCAATGCCATTTGCTGGAATGAAGTTTTGGATTTATCAAGGGAGAAATCAGTAGTGGATTTTCTGTTCTGTATGGGTTTTATTCTTCTTTGCTTTTCTTGAAAATTTAAAGTTAAGAAGAAAGTGAGTGCAGCCACAACTTCCAAATAGAACTGTGGACAGTCTTGATTCAGGAGTTTACTCATGCTGTCCATTAACAAGTATTTTGTATAGTACCTATTATGTGTACTGGATCCTTATAGAGCCCTCATTAAAACTTTGGTTCTCAAGAGTATAATGTGAATAATTTCTTCAAATCACTAAGTTTTACAGTATAATCAACATTACTTTTACACTTTAAATTCATAGATGTTAAATGGTAGAATAAGAGAACAACTTCTTCAAAGTGTTCTCATTTAAAATGTTAAGTTTCCATTTTATCTTTAAATGAATATTCTGACATTTCTGACAAAAAGTTATTGACAGTATAATGATGTTTTGACAACAGTGATTAAAAAGGAAAAGTGCTCTTATAAATGTGAAATCACTTATAAAAGCAATTTTTTCCTTTTAGGTATTATTTGAAAAATAATATGGAAACAGAAACCCTATGTTCAGATGAAGATGCTCAAGAACTAGTTAAGGAAAGCCAGCTATCCATGCTACAGCTAAGTACTATTGAGGTGGCCACTCAGCTGTCCATGAGGGACTTTGATTTATTTCGTAATATTGAGCCTACTGAATATATTGATGACCTTTTTAAGTTAGAGTCCAAAACAGGAAATACTCACTTGAAAGAATTTGAAGACATTGTAAACCAAGAGACATTCTGGGTTGCCTCAGAGGTTTTAACTGAATCAAATCAGCTCAAACGAATGAAGATTATTAAACATTTTATTAAAATTGCACTTCATTGTCGAGAATGTAAGAACTTCAATTCCATGTTTGCAATAATAAGGTAAGATTGTACAAATATTTCTGTATGATTTTGTCATGATTCTGAACTTGAAGCTGGTTTTCTTCTTAGGTATTAAATGGGCAGGAAAAGAAAAGTTCAATGAATATATTTTTATATAAGTTTTGTTAGATTGAACATATTTTCTGTTTTGGTGATACTGGTTTTTCTCCTTTTGTTTCTTCCATCTTTCAGTCACTTAAACATTTTTTGTTAAGTACAGGTGGTTCCCTGCCCAGTTTTTTTCATTTCTCCCCCGTGAGGGATTATACCCACTTGGATATATGCTCGATACCTGGTCTTTATCATCAGACTTCTGTACTGTGCATCAGACAGTACCTGCTTCACTGTGATTTGGCACTGAAAAATTAACGCACTACAAATTGGTGATATTAATGCACTAACTTAAAACTGCTATTTTGAAGTGACCACAGCAGCAACAAATAATAACGGCTACCATTTGGTGACCTCTTCCTGTTTCTCACAGACTATACGAGGTATCATTGAATGTGTTGCCACTCAAACAAGCTGGGCCATTAGAATTATGAAAATTCTTCAGAGTTTATAAACCCAGGAAATGTGGGTGGTTACATGAGCTTCTGGGAACCTTCCTCCTTCTCTTCACTTACTGTGAGAATCTAGGTGTAGACACTTTATTTCCTGACCTTCATCCAGCACAATGATGATCACAGAAGGATTCCTCCTAAAACAAGTCTAATTTTAAAGGTGGAGGGTAGTAGTAGTGTGGTCCTTTTAAAGGTCATGTACTTGTATATGGTAACATAATAACTACTGTAACTAATCCCATCTGTGCACGGTTTCCAAAAAATTATGATTTCTTTCTAGTACTCACTAAAATTAAAATCTTTATAGCAACTTTTAAATCATAAATCTGTCGTGGTAATAGAAAACTCCTTTATGAAATTTAACCAGTGGATGCAGTAGAACTAGACATTGTGGAAGTATTGAAGAGAGATTAGTAGAATGACCTTTAGAATCAGGTGCATCTGTTTTTGAATCTTGCCTCTTCCATGTGGTAGCAGTGTGTCAAGAGAAAACTGAAGACCAGTTTCTCATTTGTGGAATTCAGGACTTACACCAACTACCTCACAGTTTTTAACAGCTGAGTCTAAAACAAGGGAACACAGATGCCATCGATAAACAATTAGAAGGCTAGAAATTGAAACTGTTTGTATAGGAAACATGGAGTAAAGAATCTGAGAATTTTGGAGTACTCCATTAAAAAAAAAAAACAACCCCCGAAAACCTGATTGACTCCAGAAGAGCTCTCTGTGTAAAGAGTGTCCAAAGAATATGGTAAAGGGCTAAAAACCATATCTTAGAGGCCATCCTCAAGGTGAGGGTAAAGAAGCGAGTCCAACCAAAGAACTAGAGTACTAATACAAGAGATAGTAGACAGCATAGTTATGATGGTGCCATTGAAATCAAGGAAGCATAATGAGAGGACGGTGGAGAGCAGCCCCAAGATGGGTATCAAAAGGCCAGACGTTTGTTCAGGAAGCTTTGTTTTGGTTAGGAGGTTTTATGAAGAACATTTTATTTACATTTTCGATAGTTCATGTAAAGTTAATTGCTTAGTATTCCTACATCTTATATTACAATGCAATACAAAATATAAAAGACATATTAACTTCACAGCTGAGATGAAACAGGTGAATCAGTCACCTATGACTGGAATTTATAGCATATTTTATTTATTTGAGTTCTTGTTTTCCTAAGTCTAGCCAAAGGATTGTCAGTTTTATTTATTATTTCAGATAACCTTTTCTTAGTTTCATTGATCTTTTCTGTTGTTTTTTCTGGTCTCCTGTTTATTTCTACTTGGATTTTTGTTATTTCTCAAATGGGCTTAGTTTCTCCTTTTTCTTGTTACATATGTTAAGTAATTTATTTGAGGAGTTTGTCATTATCAACTTAGGTCCTGGAGCTGCTCTTGAAGTATCCCCCAAATTTTGGTATGTTGTATATCCGTTTTCCTTTATTTAGAAGTACTTTTTGATTTCCCCTTTGATTTCTCTGACCGTTTGTTTGTTCAAGGGAGTGTTGTTTAATTTCCATATATTTGTACATGTTTTATTTTTCCTCTTGCTGTTAATAACTAGTTTTACAAATTGTGGTCAGAAAAAATACCTGGTATGATTTCAGTCTTCTTAAATTTGCTAAGACTTGTTTTTGGCTTACATGACCTAACCTGAAAGATGTTCTGGGTATGCTTGAGAAGAATGTGTGTTCTGCTGGTATTGGATGGAATATTTTGTGTGTGTCTGTTGTTCACTCAGTCGTGTCTGGCTCTTTGTGACCCCATGGACTGCAGCACACCAGGCTTCCCTGTCCTTCACTATCTCCCGGAGTTTACTCAAACTCATGGCCATTGAGTCGGTGATGCCACCCAATCATCTCTTCCTCTGTCGACCCCTTGGCTTCTTGCCCTCAATCTTTCCAGCATCCGATAGGTCCATTGATCTAGAGTATGGTTGAAATCCACAGCATTTCCTTGTTGGTATTTTTGTCTGGGTGATTGATGCATTGCTGAAAGTGTGGTATTAAAGTCCCTTGCTATTGCTGTATTGTTTTTTTCTCCCTTCAGATCTGTTGGTATTTGCTGTAAGATATTTAGGTGCTGTGCAGTTGAGTGCATACATATTTACATCTGTTACGTCTTGCTGAGATGGCCCCTTTATCAGTCTATAATGACCTTTGTCTCTTATTACCATTTTTGGCTTAAAGTCTGTTTTATATGATGTAAATCACTATTCTCTTTTGATTTCTATTTGCATTGAATATAGTTTTGCATCCTTTCGCTTTGAACCTGATTGTATCCTTTAGGCTGAGCTGAGTAGGCAGTATATAGTTGGATCTTGTTTTATTTACCAGTAATTTTGCCATTTGATTGGAAAATTCAGTCCGCTTACATTTAGAGTTATTTTTAAAACTTACTTATTCATTTATTTTTGCTTGGACTGAGTTTTTTTGCTACATGTGGGCTTTCCCTGGTTGCAGCATGTGGGGGCTGTGCTTTGTTGCGGTGTGTGGGCCTCTCATTGTGGTGGTTGCTCTTGTTCCAGAGCATAGGCTCTGGGTGTGTGGGCTTCAGAGTGGCAGCACACAGGCGGTAGTTGGAGCCCATGGGCCTCGGGCGAGCAGATCTAAGTGGCTGAGGCTCGCGGACTCTGGAGCGTGGGCTCAGTAGTTGTGGCGCTGAGGCCCAGCCACTGTGCAGCATGTGGAATCCTCTCAGACCAGGTATCAAATCCAAGTCCTCCCATTGGCAAGTGGATTCTTACCCACTGCACTATCGGGGAAGTCTTAGAGTAACTATTGATATGTAAGGACTTATTACTGCCATCTTATTGTTTCCTGGATGTTTTGTAATTCCCTTCTTTCTTTTTTACTCTTTATTTTTTACTCTATTGCTGTGTTCCTTTGTGAATTGGTACTTTTCCTGGTAGTATGCTCTGATTTTCTTTTCTTCATCTTTTGTGAATCCACTACGGGTTTTTGCTTTGTGGTTAGTTACCATGACACTTACATGAAACCTCTTAGAGATGTAGCAGTTGATTTGACACTAATAAAATTTCAGTCACATACAACTCTACCCCCTCTTTTATGTTTTCATTGTCACAATTTGCCTTTTTATGTTGTGTATTCATTTGCAAATTGTAATAGCAAGAGTTGTTTTTTATATTCTTGTCATTTAACCTTTATTCTCTAGTTTAGTGGTTAATATACCATCATTTCATTGTTGAGAATATTTGTTAACCCTAACTATATACTTAATGTTTATCAGAGTGTTGTATATTTTCATGTTTTCATGTTATTGGTGTCATTTCATTTCATTTTAAGAACTTCTTTTAGCATTTCTTATAAGGCAGATCTAGTATAATGAACTTCTCAGCTCTTGATTTCTGGGGAAAGTCTTCTATTTCTCTAGGATGACTTTGCCAGATAGAGTACTCTTGACTGATAATTTTTTTCCTTTCTGCAGTTTGAATGTATTAGTCCACTCTCTCCTGCTTGTAAGTTTTCTGCTGAAAAGTCTACTGATAGCCTAACGGGAGTTCCCTTGTAAGTTACAATCTTCTTTTCTCTTGCTGCCTGTAGAATTCTTTCTTTCATTTTGACAGTTTTATTATAATGTGTCTTGGAGAAAGCTGTCTTGGATTGAAATAATGGGGTAATCTGTTAGATTCATGAACTTGGATGTCTAGACCTCTTCCCAGGTTTGGAAATTTCTCAACCATACTTCTTTAAATAGTCTTCTTTCCCCTCAGTTCTCGCTCTGGAACTCCAGTGATTTGTATATTGGGTTTTTTGGGGTTTTCTTCCATAATGGTTTCCCAATCTTTTTCATTCTTTTTCTTTTTTCTCTTCATTGGCTTTCTTCACTTTTTTTTTCCATGCTTTTTTCTCCTCACACTGAGTTATTTCAAAGTTCCTATCATTTATCTCAGTGATTTTTCCTTTTCTTTGGTATACTTGATGTTGCTACTCTGTATTGCAGTTTTTTTCTTTTCATTCACTGAATTCTTCCATTCCAGAATACACATTTGGTTCTTTCTTGTGATGTCTGTATTTTGATTATATATTGCTTTTCTCATTTCATTGACTCATCTTTCTGTTTTCTTATAGCTGATTGAGTTTTCTTAAAATTCCTATTTTGAATTCTTTATTAGGTAAAATATGGATTGCTGTGTCTTTGATTACTGGAAGATTTTTGTGAACTTTTGGTGATGTCATGTTTCCTTGTTTTTTCATGTTTCAGGGAGTTTTGCATTGCTTTTTCTGCATTTGAAATTGCTTTCATCTTCTCTAACTTTTATGAGTTGCCTTCAGGAGAAAAAAAATCCTTTTGTCATTCCTAATACAGATTCTGAGACTTTCTGTCTGGCATTGTGTGGATACACCTGCTCCCGGCTTCTTGTTCCCTCTTGGGCAGAATTCTGAAGCTTGTATGTTTTCTCTGTATCCTCGGATGTACCATG